ATCCGTGCCTTCGGCACGGAATATGAACCCGTGTGTAACTGGGTTATTTACCACATACCCATACAATAACTATAATGAATTATCCGGATAATCCGTAAGGTATTTGAATAATTATCCGGATATCAATAGTAAACGAATAATAGGAATGCTAAATTATGAGTTCGATCCAGTCAGATCCTAGGACCTTCTAGGGCCGTCCTGGACTCAAATACTTAAATCACGTGAAAACACAATACGTTTCAGATCCTGTATTGGAACTTCTGAATGAGTTCATCCAATCAATTTAGTTCTATGTTGTTAAATAATTCGATCCAGGATCTAAATCATATATAAATGTATATGTTTCACGTGACTTAAGGACGAATCCTTTACCGATCCTTGAAAGAATCTGCCAGGATCGGTTAGGACTCGATCCCAAAGGACCGATTAACATCCCTTCGAATAGAATAAATTCAGATCTGGATATCTGATAATTATCCGGATAAACGCTTAACAGATTGGAGCTCTAATGGTTAGTGTTAGGATAAGAAAGTTCGTATTATAAAATAATCCTAACAGCTCTTTATGTTTAGTGTTAAGATAAGAAAGTTCGTATTATAAAATCATTCCAATGGCTCTTTATGATTAGTGTTAGGATGAGAAAGTTTGTATTATAAAATTATTTTAAAAGCTCTTATGGTTAGTGTTAGGGTGAGAAAATTCATATCATAAAATCATTCTAACAGCTCTTTAAATTTAGTATTTGATTATGGATGTTTTACTATATATTAAAATTTTATAAAGAACCTTTTTTTTTTTGCCGATACGCCCATCACCAATACGTATACAGTCGACCCTCTCAGAATCGGTATGCATGGTGGACAGTTTTAAGAGGTTATCGGATTTGAAAACATAGCAAACTATTAGATTTATACAACGGGAACAGACTTGGTAGATTGATTTTTTATCAGATTTGACAGGTTATCCTGTATTAGTCTTTTTAATAATATATTTAATTCACATAATTCACATAAGTGTTGGAAATCATATGCTTTCATGTTCTCATACTTTTAGATTTGAGAACGTTTGATATTCTGTAAATGTTCTCTATAAAAGATTTATAAATTAGAAATCGAGCGAAGTTCCGAAATCATCCGGAAAGAAAATGAATGAACATAAAAGATGAGAAGGGTTGAACAAAAATTTGAATAAATGTCCGAAATAAGAAATTCAAAAAAAATAGGGATATAAATAAACTTTACTGTTGAGAACATAAATAAATTTCCGAGAACATTAAATTAAATAAATTTGTTCTTATGATACATAAATCTCAAAACAGATTTCCAACGCTGATTCACATGTGCAATATTAATTATTCAATAAGGTACTTAAAATAATCTTTATATTAATCTTTAACTCAACGATAAAAATAGAAACATGCGCTGATGCAGTATAATACAATATTTTATTAAGAAAATTTTTGCTGCTTATTGTTTCTTTTGGTGATAGACTTTCGGTGAAAACTAAACGAATCTCTATAATTTTTAAATTTAAATAGCATATGTTATTGTAAAGAATGCAACCAATATAATGTTTTGCCTGTTTTGTCTTCGTTGTTATATTCATGAATCAATCTGATGCATAAATTAGACTCCTCTCGAACATGATGCAGAGCAAATACTGTATAAAGGAACTGCGCCACGGACAGACGCGTTGAGGATCAAAAGTTTAATATAGATTTTTTTATTTTTTATTTTTTTAAAAAAAATTTAAAAAAATACAAAAAAATTAAATTACCTGTAGGGTGGCCATATCCGTAGTATGGTCGTTCGACCAACAGAATCATGACAAGTATATCATGTGTTAATTATGATCAATCCGAGGATCTATCCGTTTAAAATTGACGGATAAGGATATCCACATTTAATCCGAATTAGTCGGATTGCGATCGAAGCACTAAATTTGGGCAGCCGGATTTAGAATTCCTGTACGTACTGTACGTACGGGTACGTACCGATTTTACTTATTTGCGCGGGTAACACAACCCAAAAAAAGGAATCGAATTTTGTAAATAAACTAAGTGCGTGTAAATAAAAGTTTAGGATTAGAACGTTAGGGCATATCAGATATTAGCTGAGATCAATTTACTATAAAGACATCCCCCTCTTGGGATATGCTATAGCACCAAATATTCTCACGGCCAATCAGATTACACTTTATGTTACACGAAAACACGAATAATTTATAATATTAAAACTTTATTTCGATACAATATGGGAACCCCAACAGCAAAAGGAGGCAGTGGGTAAAAAATTTTGATTTTGTAATTTTATAAAAATTGTATTCCTAATACTTTAATTCTTCAAGAAATTGAGTTTAAAAAAAAATTTTTTTTGCCCACTGCTTTCTTATGCCGTGTGGGGTCCCATATACAGTATATAATAAAAATATAAGTATACTGTATATCCAAATTTAATTATAGAATTATTTGAAATACTAAACATATAAAATGCACCTAAATAACTTATCTTTTATTGCTATACAATCCAATTCGCATCTATGATTAAATTGTTAATGTAATACATAATTAAATATAGCAATCCAACCCATAGCTTTGCTTTTAAAAATATTTACAAACAATTACATTTCTAAAAAAGCTTCCACTTATAAGTATGATCTATTAATATAGATATATACATTATAATTTAGCAAAGTTGGGTATTGTGATGAATTGAAAAAAACTTTTAACTTAGTAATCTTAATAAAACAATTTATATAACAAATTAATACCAAATAAATTGTTCAATTTAATTATAAGGTTATAAGATTTTAATTTATCACAATATCCAATTTTAAGGAAGTGATATTTTTCATCTAATTTTTTTAGCAGGGGAGTGGGTGCCAAAATATCATGCTAATAAGTCACATGTATATATGTTTGTAATCATTTGAGGAAGAAGAAAAATTTTACTACTTACAAAAAATCAGCTAATAAATAACACTTCTCTTATCAAATATATACATATATATAAATTTTAATAAAAAAAATAGAAATAAAAAGAATATTTACTTTATTTTGTAAATTGTGCAATAAATAAATATCATGGCTGATGCTAAAATTTAGAGTTCCAATTTAAATCTATAATATTTACTAAAATTCACATATACTTTTTTACTAACAACTCTACTCTCAAACTCTAACCTAATACTAAAAAAAAAACTTAATTAAAAGGCTTAAAAATTTTTTAAATTTTCATAATAAAATAAGTCAAAATTTCAGTATCAGCTGTAACAATAAATAATAAAAATAGATAACAAATCTGTATCAAATTAGTTGGTTTTCTTATAAATATATATAAAGTATATTATAAAATAAAAAATTGTAAAGAGTGTAGCAATATAGTGAAGTGGTTGAGTTGTTGTACCCCAAGTTAGTTTGGCTATAGTTTGAGTTCAAATCTTACTGGTGATATTTTGAACAATTTGCTTGTATTATAGTAATAGCTTATTCTAAATTGGACTAGATTCTATACCTGTTAACTAAGACATACCACCTTGTATGCACTGGGAGACATAGAAGTATTTGTGTTATTGTACAAAGGAATGCAAACTAGTACAGACAGTGTAAACTTATAATAAGCCTTCCAGAATCGACTAATATAAAGATCTACTTATAGTAGTCTAAAGGAACTAAAACTGGTTTGGCAAATCCGGAATAGGGAAGTAGCAGATTAGATCTTATCAGGTGCTATCTGGTACCACAAAACTAACCTGACTAAATCCAAAATATTGAAGGATTTGGTAACAAGATCTTTGGGCAAAAGGGATCCACCAACCAGGCTGCTGGGGACATAAGTACTGTTACTTATAAATCAAATGAGTTAACTCATCTCAATTTTATATATAAATTTATATAAAAAATTACTTAATTGATGATTTGCTAGTTATCTGGTACAACAACTATAATATAATATAATGCAGATTACTTAAAGAAATTAGAGTTTTTGAAAAGTGGAGTGCATGTATCTAAAACTTTTTTTTATACTAAGTTAATCGATCTTGTCAATTAATTCAAAGTTGTACAGCTCTTCAAGATGCATCTAATGGTGGTTAATTCATCTAAATTGGCTTAGTAGTTCACAAGATTTTACTAGAAAATAATTGGCTAACTATTTAAAATCTTTATATAAATAATAGTTTGTTTTGAAGATTTTATATAGTCAGCCCAGTAATATCTTGTAAATCACTAGGCTGATTTAGATAATTTAACTATTATTAGATATGTCTCAAAGAGCTTTACAACTTTTAATTAATTGACAACTTAGTATAAAAAAAAGTTTTAAATATATACACTTAGTGTTCCATATGATTTGGACTAAGCAGATATTTTTGAAGATCTATACCTGGTTTAAACATTAATTCAGATCTAAATTTAGAATCTGAACTAGTAATACAGGTCAATGCAAACTCTTGAGCCAACCTGGTCACTAAAATTATTTGGCCCAGTCAGCCGGGCTAACTATATTTTTTTTAAAAAAACTTTTGACCTATAATTGCATAATTTGGGGTGACATCAATAGAAAAGGGACAAATTGAGTAAAACATTATTTTGAGATAATTGTGTTTTTATGTTTATGTTACATGAATTTGATCATCATTTAGAGCAAAATGGCCAATCTAAACTAAACTTATGAACTAAAATTCCGAACATGCAAATCCGTGCGTCAATAGAAAAGAGACAAATTTATCTAATAGATTTGTCCCATTTCTATTGACGCCAAAGAAAATTGAACTTATAAAAATACTTTCATTAAGCCTAGATGTAGAAAAAAGCAGATATCTATTCATTCAGTATAATTAGCACAAATTTCAAACTTTCTTTCTTTTCTAATTGTCGTAGAGTTGTCCATTTTGATTTTTTCTTTCATTGTTGGTTCGTGCTAATAAGTATTTTGTAACTTGCATTTTATAAAAAAAATTCGGTTACTGTATCTACTCACTATAATATTAAGTGATTTAGATAGGATTATGTATTAGATCTGTATAGTGGTTTGCTGATTGACTATAACATAAAAGGCTAAACACACTATTCTATAAACTATATTATGTAGTTAAGATTATGTTGGTTTGAATTGAAATTATAGCTATTTTAATAAATCCTGTTACAGAACTTACTCTCTAATGCAGGTCGCAAAATTGGCATGATTTTTACTAAAGATCCTTGAAGAAAAAATTATGAGTCACCAGTAAGTGATAGCTTTTTATGAATTCATTATATTAATTATATCAAATATAATAAACTTACAGACCCTATTGTAATTGGAATTGGAGGTTTTAGAAAGGATCTTAAATATGAGTGAAGAGACAATGAATTAATAGTTGGTTTTAAATATTTTAAAATTAATACTAGCATTGATAAAAGAACCATTAAAGAATTTATCAATGAGGTATTATTTGTTATGTTAAAACTTTAATGCAATTTACTTCTTATAATACAAATAATTAGCTTAAATTATTACGAAGTGTTTCTTGTCACCAAAACATTAATACATTCTATGAAATTACGAAGCAATAAAGTTATCAAATATTTCAAATAATAGTAGATAAGCAAAAATATTCATCAAATCGAATATATAGATAGCAACGTATATTATAATAGTGATTTAGATAAATTTAAGTTTTGTATTGGATTTGTATAATGATTTACTATAGAAAATTCGGTTGCTACACTCACAGATTATTGAGGTAGCATACCTAGCAAAGAAAAATTCCATGACTGCCGCTAGTAGGTGATTTAGATAAGGTTAAATTAGCTTCGTATTTGATTGTGTGATTTGTATAGTGATTTACATAAAAAAATTGTTTACTATATATACAGAACTATCATAATGAGATAATTTGTAGCTACTAGTAAAAAGGTTAAAGTTAGTTTTGCATTGGATTTTTGTAATTTGTATAATTTACCCAAAAAATTCGTTTACTGTACTTACAGGACATCATGATAATATATTTAAACCAACTGATAAGTGATTAAAGATAGAGTTGCATTGGATTTTTGTGATTTGTATAGTGATTTAACCATAAAAAATTCAGTTACATACTTACAGAACTATTGTGATGACAAATCTGAACCAAGACTGAGAAGAATTTGTAGCTGCTAGTAAGTAATTTAGACAGGGTTAAAGTTAGTTTTGTGATTCATATAGTGATTTAATATAAAAAATTCAGTTACTATATTTACAGATGATATGCCTGAGCCAAAGCTAGGATGAATTTGTAACCACTAGTAAGTGGGTTAAGGTTAGTTTTGTATGCTAAAAAATTTGTTTACTGTATATACAAAACTATCATGATAACATATTTGAGTAACCGCCAATAAGTGGTTTAGATAAAGTTAAAGTTAGCTTTGTATTTGATTGATTGTGTAGTAATTTACCATAAAAAATTCATTTACTGTATATACAGAACTATCATGATGAGATATCTGAAGAATAATTTGTAGCCACTAGTAAGTTAATTAAATAAAGTTAAAATTGGTTTTGCATTAGATTTTTGTGATTTGTATGATTTACCCAAAAAATTCGTTTACTGTACTTACAAGGCATCGTGATAATATATTTGGACCAACTGGTAAGTGATTAAAAATAGTGTTGCATTGGATTTTTGTAATTTGCATGGTGATTTAACTGTAAAAAATTCAGTTACAGTACTTACAAAATTATTGTGATGACAAATCTGAACCAAGACTTGTAGCCATTGGTAAGTAATTTAGATAGGGTTAAGGTTAGTTTTGTGATTTGTATGGTGATTTAACATAAAAAATTCGGTTATTATACTTACAGATGATATGCTTGAGCCAAGGCTAGGATGAATTTATAACTACTAGTAAGTTAGTTTTGTATTGGATTTTTGTGATTTATATGCTAAAAAATTTATTTACTGTACATACAGAACTATCATGATGATATATTCAAGTAACTACCAGTAAGTCACAGGTTGAAAGATAAAAAATCAGGTACCCGATTTTAAACTGATTACTACCTGATTTATGCATATTTTTGTACCAAAAATTTGGTACAAAAATATGCATAAATCAG